TCATATTTCATAGGTTTCCATTGTACATTTAATTTAATTAAATTACACCATGTGTGCCTGGCAAAAACTGGTTTGTTAGCAAACATCATTGACTCCTGGTAAGCATATAATTCAATTGCTGCTGAGTCAAGTCCTTTATGCCTCATTTTTCTCATTTGTAGCATGGCAGTGTTATGTGGCTTGAATGAGTTAATCTGTAGAAAGAGATTTGTAAGCACTTAATAAATGTTTGGATGAAGAAGCATACAGGTATAATTTAGTTGATATGTTTCCCTGAAGGAATGTGGAGTATCAGCAAACCTGTGCGTGATTTGGTTACATGAAGGAACATTATCAGCTTCTCCTGTGTTATGGGGTGGTTTTATTAGACAAGGATGTCTTCTGTGGATCACAGAAAATTCCCACCCAAATATTATTTTCATTCTCATTCTCGTTCTCTTGTTTTCTGATGAAATGTGTACTTTGTCCCCAGGACACCTGATTCATTCCTTATCCAAAAGCCTTCTTATTTGCAGGTCTGGCCTGAAGGCAGGAAGCAGCACAAAAGTAGTGTCTCCTCCTTCAACATTTGAATGACTGCCATAAAAATAAATAAATAAAATCCTTTTTATACTCCCAAAGGGACACTTACAACAAGTGTCTTAATATCTCCCCAACTACAGCAAATATATGTTCAGGAGTATCAGATTGCAAGGTATACACAAATTCCAAGAGCACTGCTGCAAGCAAAATATGCCATACTCTCTGATGTTAGAGAATTCTCCAAGTTGACTCCATTTTTTGGTTGCTGGCAGCCAATCATAAGCACCCTAGAAATGCTGCACCTCTAGTGGAAAAGTTGGAATGTAAGGCCATCCAGGTTAAGATGATGGAAACAGGAAAGGCTTTAGAGGCAGACATGACTGGATCCAAATTCAGGCTGTATCACTTGTTTTTGGCTGTGCAATTTGGTCAAGTTACTTAACCTCTCTAAGCCTCGGTTTCCTCAAATACGCAAAGAATATTCTTTGCTGCATTAAATTCTTGAAAAGTCTTAATGTGGTAAGGCAGAAATCCACCTAGTTTAGAACTGGACACATAGTGTGCATTCAATGATGGTGGCCATTATTATTTATTATTTTTCAGTATAACTCCAACGTTGACCCTTAGGTGTAACAAAGCTATAGAATGTCATGCTTAAAAGCCAGGCTACCTGGATTTGAATTCCAGATCTTCCACTTCTTTACTGAGTAAACTTGGGCAATTTTTTAAAGTTATCTGTGCTTCATTTTCCTTCTCTAAAATGGAAAAAGTAACACAACCTATCTCAAAGTGTTGTTATCAGAGTTAAATAAGTTAGCATATGTAAAATGTTTAGAATAGTGCTTAGAACACATTAAGCACTATGTAAGTGTCAGGTATTACATAATTGCTGTATTATAACTGTCTCTTTAACTGTTAGCTGTGCGACATGGATTCTTTTATTTTGTATCTCCAGGGTGGCAAAGTGACTGGAGCAGATTAATAGTTAATTGAATAAATGAAGCATCCCACATGCCATGCTAGTCAAGACTTTCCCTAATTTAAACTAACCAATTTAAACTAACTATATGGTGGCTCATGTCTATAACCTCAGCACTTGAGAGGTTGAGATGGGAGGATCAGCTGAGCTTAAGAATTCAAGATCAGCCTGGACAATATAGTGAGATTCTATCTCTCCAAAAATAAAAATAAAAAAATAGCTAGGTGTGGTGACACATTCCTGTAGTCCCAGCTACTCAGGAGGCTGAGATGGAAGGATTGCTGAAGCCCAGGAGTTCAAGGCTGCAGTGAGCCATGATTGTGTCACTGCACTCTAGCGTGGGTGACAGAGCAAGACACTGTCTCAAAAAATAAAATTATAAATAAACTAAAGAAAAAATAAGGCAATTTATTGCTGCTCATATTTAAATAATCCAGGAGTGAATCTTGCTTCAGGCATAATTAGAACCCAGGGCTCAAATAATTTAAGAAATTGTCTCTGGCATTTCTGTTTCATTGGCTCTCTCTACATGGAGGACATTATAGCCACCAGCAACCCAAGCCTCAGAGCCAGCCACTTTAGCACTCAGTGGAAAAAGAGCCTCTTCCAAAATATCTGGCCAGGATGGAATTTTAATGTGCCCAGTGTGAGTCACGCACCCATCCTAGTATTAACTTCTGTGGTCAAAGAAATGAAGTAATCTGACTGGTTAGGTCTGCCCCACGGTGTAGAAACGAAGGGGCAACGCTATGCAAACATACAGATTTCCCCAAAGGAAATAAGATTCTATTACAGGGATGAAGGGAAAGGGATGCTGGGCAGGCAAAAATGCCAGATGCCCGTACATAGGCCAAAGAACAGTTGTCAAACCCATTGGTCCTAGATCAGTAGTCCCCAAACTTTTTGGCACCAGGGACCAGTTTCATGGAAGACAATATTTCCACAGACCAGTATGTGTGTGGGGTGGGAGGGATAGTTTCAAGATGAAAGCTGAAACCTAACGCACAGGTGCATCGTATTTATTGTACACTTTATTATTATTACAGTGTAATATGTAATTAAATAATTATACAACTCAACATTATGTAGAATCAGTGGGAGCCCTGAGCTTATTTTCTTGCAACTAGACAGTCCTACCTGAGGATGATGAGACAGTGACAGATCATTAGGCATTAGATTCTCATAAGGAGCACACAACCTAGATCCCTCACATGCACAGTTCACAATAGGGTTCATGCTCCTAAGAGAACCTAATGCCATCTGACAGGAGGCAGAGTTCAGGCAGTAATGAGAGCCATGGGGAGTGGCTATAAATACAGTTGAAACTTTGCTCACCTGCCACTCACCTCCTGCTGTGTGGCCTGTCTTAGATTATCCCAGACAATAAGATTCTGCCTACTTTTAACAGGCCTTTATCCAAGGTAGTTACAGTCAGAAATGCAATTGACAAAGAAGTTTGGTTATCTCTGTGGTTTACAATAACTTAACAACCTTAGTTATGACTGACAGCATATACTTTAGACATTAGAATTTTAGAAATATCATACAATTTTGGAACATATATTAGTATTATCCACCAAAATATAATCCAAAGAAGACTGAACACCATTTTGGCAATCCCATGTAACTAAACATGTAAAATAATCCTGCTTACCTCTCTTTTGGATACTCCAGGGGCCCTCTGTAGCGTCCAAAAACCAGGCATCAGGAAAGAGAGTTTTGAAACTGAAGTTTGATTTCTGTTAAATATGGTAGCGCCTGTTAAATATGTTGATGTTATGAAATAGAATTCCAGATTACCATAAGTTATTTTGCCAAAATTATGAATTAGAAATTGAAAAAAGCAAAAACTTTTATAACCCTTTACAAATTTTGTGAAAGAGCGGATTAGTGCCTTAAGACTACCTTGTTGTCTTTTATTTCAATGCTTAATTTACCAAAAAACAAACAAACAAAAAAAAAACCAACCATATAATGCCCTTTTGAACTTTGTCAATATGTTCACACATGGAATTTTTGCAAGATTAAATTTTACAATTCTTCCATCATTTGTTTAAACCTTCAGCTTTATCTTCTCTAATTCAAAAGAATCCTTCAACCCTAGGCAAGAATTTACATTTCCATGCCTTCTTATAATATTTTACTAAAAACACATCTTACTGTTCTTACATGCCTTGCACATAAATCTATTTCCGGTTTCAATTACATGTTATAATGGTAACTCACAGCAATTTTTAACTTTAATGTAAAACCTGGTAAGTTGTTTTAATTATGTGCTACATGCACCCAAGGTTTGACTCCTTCCAGCATAATTAAGGGCATGGTCAATTCCATATGTCTGCAGGCCTTACCAACTGTGAAGCAGGCAAGTCAAACAGTTCTCAAAGACCAAAAAGGCAGTTTATAACCTTTAAATATTTAGCAAACCTAGTATTTGTACTGCATAATGTAGTTCACCAATTTACATTTTGATAGCATCTGCATTTCACCAATCATCTTTAAGGCTGTTTTTGTTTCTCAAAGATTAAAGTCACATGAATGAAAAAGTACCACAGCTTTTATCTTCCCTTTAAAACATAATTGATCCAAGTGTTCATCTTCCTTTAGGCCAGCCAATTAATTAGGACTCTTTTTATAGATATCACACATACAACATATATACAATTACACAGACAGGCAGAAAAGGATGCAGTGGTTATAAGATTTTTCATTTGCCAGTCTCCTAATTGGCTTATTGGCCTCTTACACATGAATTAAGAGTGGCAAGGCAAAATGGAGAAAAAGAATTCAGTCAACTGAGAAAAAAAACACTTTTTCCAGCAAACAAGATCCAAGAAAAGAAAAACATAAAAGCCTTTTAAATATCCCTATAATTTGGATATCTTTTAATTAAGCTGAGCACTCTTAAGAAAGTCCTTTTAAATCCCTTGTTACCCGACATTAGCCACTCGAAGTGGCCAATACTTCTGGCTTTCCAACTTTACTAAAGGTGACCTCAGAGAAAGGAAAATACAAGGTGGTTCATGGAAGAGAAGAGGAACAACAAACAGCAAAATGTTTTGCAGATACCGAACCAGAAAGGACTCGTTCCCTAAGCCAGAATTGAACCCAGCTGCCACTGTAACATGGCAGAGGCTAAACAAAGCATTGCTATGTTACAGGTCGTGCTTTCAAGAATGTAAAACAAGATGGAGGCCTGCAGCAAAGTTTGCTACTGACTATACAGAAAGTCATGCAAAGCACGCTAGACAGCCTAGACCAACAGCCTAGACACACTGGTCCAACTTTACAAATCCTTTTTCCTTAATCCAAACTTTTTTTTTTTGAGACAGTCTCACTCTGTTACCCAGGCTGGAGAGGAGTGGTGTGAACTCGGCTCACAGCAGCCTCTGCCTCTCGGGTTCAAGGGATCATCCTGCCTCAGCCTCATGAGTGGCTGGAATTACAGATGTCCACCACCACGCCTGGCTAATTTTTGTATTTTTAGTAGAGAGAGGGTTTCACCGTGTTGGCCAGGCTGGTCTCCAACTCCGGACCTCAGGTGATCTGCCCACCTCAGCCTCCCAAAGTGCTGGGATTGCAGGTGTGAGCCAATGCACCTGGCCCCTTAATCAAAACTTTATAGAGAATATAAACAGTGATGGGATCCTGGCCTAGAAAAAACTATTTCTTAAAGGAAAAAGAGTCTTTAACTTAAAAGCTAATTCCTGACAGGGTGGAGAACAGGAAAAAAAAATTAAAAGTGCAGGGTTGGAAAGATGCCTGGGGAAAGAAGCTCTTAAACAAATGGGTTCCTCCAACAGGGAGAGAAACTTAATTGATGTGCCCTATTGGGCACCCTTGGGCCAGAGGCCATGTGCCCCAGCCCTGTCCAGGAAGGGAGAGGGAAAGCCGCCATTTGCCCATCACCCTGAAAATAGAAGGCAGAGGCTGACATTCCCAAACCCCAGGAGCGACTGTGGGGAAAGGAGGAATAATTTCCTCTACCCTCAGAAGCACAAGGACAAAAAAGCTTAGAAGTGAAAGGGAAAAATAGTTTTTGGCTCGCAACTTACGCATCCTCAAGCCCCATGTCTGGGCAGCAAAATATTGCAGAATTTTGCTCCTTAGTTCAGCTAAAACCAGGTTCTTGTCATAAGCCAGGAAAATGTAGGCACACAGACACATTGAAGGGTGAGTACAAAGGATTTTATTGGACAAAAAGGGAAAAAAAGCCAAAAAAAACCCAACACACACACACACACACACACACACACACACACACACACACACACACACACACACACACACACACACACACACACACACACACTCCGCAAATGAGATAGAGTCCGGCTAACAGGCCCTGTACCTCACAGACTGAATATTCCACCACATAGGAACGGAAGAGGCCAGGCTCCTCGCCTCCCTCTGGCTCCACCCTGTTCCCCTAGTCCTCTGTGAGCATGCTCAGATGAGGCCCTGGGTAGGTTCCCTCATCTGCACAAAAGTATTTGATGTAGACACTTGTAGGGCGGTTTAGAGATTCGCCAGTGACCCCCTTTTTTTGTCCAGGCATTTGGCTGTCTCAGTACTTAGTTATTTCCCTCTAATTGCCAATTTTCAAAGTAAGGATTAGATAGAGCCCATGGTATCCAATAAGTTTATTTATTTATTTGTTTTGGCACTTTTTCCCCTCATGCACACATTAGGTTTTTACGTATTCTATGTATTTCAACTGTATTCAGTCACTACTTTTTCAGAAACTTAAATTATCCCATCTTTGGCCAGCTGGAGCCCCTTCCTGATGGTTCTTGGGTTATTTTTATACAACCCACTGATCTTTGGTAACTTTGCAGCTTTTAGCTCAGCAAGATAGTCTAGCCTCATCTTGTACATGTACCACCCTAGCCTTGGAATCAGCCATCCAAGAAGTTCTGATTCCTTTTCGTGGGAAATGTCATTTAGGGACCACAATCTGGGCACTATAAGTTACTCATTGCTCATGGGTTTTTCATACTTCTAGGCCTTTCTGAAAAGTACAAAAATAGGATATATGTACTTTAAAATGGAGGAAAAAACTTTGACGTTTACACTATTTCTAATTCAAATTTATATTGATTTATTTATATTAATGTCTTTGATTTTATATTTCTCTTCTCTTACACTGAAAATCTTGGTTCCTAACAATATTAACATAATTACAATATAATTATTACTTTGTCTTAAACTATATAGAAAATAGTTTAAAAATACTAAAGACTACCATACCCAGCCTAAGTCATCCATTCTGATGGATATCTATTATTATCTCTCGGAACCTGGCACCTTTTGAACACCCTTTGGATGTTTGGAGAATTTCCTGTTTCGAGTCCCACCAAGTTAGAAGGCAGAATACTTATTCCTCCTCTCCTTCATTTGCAGCTAGGACACAGGGTTGTGATTGGTGCTCCTCGGATCACGTGCACTTGTGAGAAGTTGGTGAAAGGGGCAATATAAGAGTTAGTTCCTGACACAGAAGTGATGCCTTCAGCAGCAGCAGTTACAGTCACATTGAGTTCCTTGCAGGATAGCCGCTGAGTGGTAATGGGCTGTGGCTGCAGATTTCTCATCAGGCCAATTGTGCTACATAATTGGGGGTGATTTTCTTGGAGGCTTAACCTCACAATTGTTTCTTTGAGCCTTCTCAACAATTCTGAGTCAACCAATGGTCTTTTAATAAACCCTTTTTCTGCTTCATCTGTCACCATCAGCTTCTGTCACTTGCAGCTAGGAAACAGTTGACACAGCAGACCCTGGAGGTCAGAAGGGGATAATTTTAGGCATCACAGAGGCCTGATCATTCTCTTTCTCTCCCACCCTTCTCTCCCTTGACTGTAAGAGTGCTTGTGAGTTCTGGGATAGAAGGAACTGCGGTATAATGAAAAGAACTGGGTCATTAGTGGCCCAGCAGCTTCTCCGCAGGAAAACCCTTTGAAAACGATCGGTCGTTAAGAAGCAGAGGGTGCTTCCTTGATTTCTGGAGGGGAAGAGGGTCAGCTGTTGGTAGCTGAGATGAGGTCAGCAGGGACCCAGCAGAGCTTCTGGGATCTAAAGAGCAGAAGGATGTGAGATCAGCAGACTGAGCATCAGACTAAATCCCTATCCCCATCCCAAAGGCACTTTGAAGGAATAATTGGAGCAGGAAGTCCTGAGGAAAAAATAAAACTTGCAAATAATAAAAAAGGTGGGTCTAAAGAACCAGCATTGTGATTATCCTTTTTTTTTTTTTTTTGATACAGAGTTTCACTTTCATCGCCCAGGCTGGAGTACAATGGCATGATCTCAGCTCACTGCAACCTCCACCTCCCGGGTTCAAGCAATTCTTGTGCCTCAGCCTCCCGAGTAGCTAGGAGTACAAATGTGTGCCACCAAATCCTGGCTAATTTTGCATTTTTAGTAGAGATGGGGTTTTACCACATTGGCCAGGCTGATCTCAAATTCCTGTCCTCAGGTGATCTGCCTGCCTCAGCCTCCCAAAGTGCTGGGATGACAGACAGGCGTGAACCACCATGCCAGGCCTGACTTGGGGTAATCTTGCAAGTCGATCCTTCTGGACCCAGTAGCAGTCTAGACTAGGTCACATGTACTAAGGCTGCTAACCTGTCATTCATAGCAAATATTCCCCTTCGGATTGTCATTTGTCCCTTCATCTTGTATTTGTTAACATAGATATTTTAACTTTATTTTTAGTCAATTCTACTGATATTCTTTGTGATAGCTTCCATTGCTTTTATGTTTAGATAGTTTCTTCCTTTTCCAAAAATATGTTCAATTTCTCTTATGTTTTCTTTCAATTTTAAAGATGGTTTTTATTTATTTATTATCATTATTATTATTTTGAGATGGAGTCTCGCTCTGTCACCCAGGCTGGAGTGCAGTGGCGCAATCTCAGCTCACTGCAACCTCTGCCCCCGGGGTTCAAATGATTCTCCTGCCTCAGCCTCCTGAACAGCTGGGAATACAGGCACATGCCACCACACCCGGCTGACTTTTGTATTTTTAGTAGAGATGGGGTTTCACCATGTTGGTCAGACTGGACTCGAACTCCTGACCACGTGATCTACCCACCTTGGCTTCCCAAAGTGCTGGGATTACAGGTGTGAGCCACCGTGCCTGGCCTTTTATTTATTTATTTATTTATTGAGATAGAGTCTCTCTGTTCCCCAGGCTGGAGTGCAGTGGCATGATCTTGGCTCACTGCACCTCCATCTCCTGGATTTAAGCAAGTCTCCCGCCTCAGCCTCCTGAGTAGCTGGGACTACAGGTGCTCACCACCATCCCCAGCTAATTTTTGTATTTTTAGTAGAGACGGGTTTCACTATGTTGGCCAGGCTAGTCTCGAACTCCTAACCTCATGATTCACCTGCCTCAGCCTCCCAAAGTGCTAGGATTACAGGCATGAGCTACCACATCCAGCTGCTAAAAATGGTTTTATTTTTTACATTTAATCATTTATTCCATCCATAATTCATTTTCTTTTGTTAGATATAAGAATTGTGAATATGTTTTTAAAATAGGTTCTTCAGCTGGGCACCGTGGCTCATGCCTGTAATCCTAGTACTTTGGGAGGCCGAGGAGAGTGAATCACCTGAGGTTAGGAGTTCAATACCAGCCTGGCCAACATGGTGAAACCCCATCTCTACTGAAGATATAAAAATTAGCCAAGCATGGTGGCACACACCTGTAATCTCAGCTACTCAGGAGGCTGAGGCAGAAGAATCACTCAAACCCAGGAGGCAGAGGTTGCAGTGAGCTGAGTTTGTACCATTGCACTCCAGCCTGGGTGTCAGAGCTAGACTACATCTCTAAAATAAATAGGCCAGGCGCAGTGGCTCATGCCTGCAATCCCAGCATTTTGGGAGGCTGATGCGGGCAGATCACCTGAGGTCAGGAGTTTGAGACCAGCCTGGGTAACATGGTGAAATCCTGTTTCTACTAAAAATACAAAAATCAGCCAGGTGTGGTGGTGCACACCTGTAATCCCAGCTACTCAGGAGGCTGAGGCAGGAGAATCACTTCAACCTGGGAGGCAGAGGTTGCAGTGAGCCGAGATCGCACCATTGCACTCCAGCTTGGGAAACAAGAGCGAAACTCCGTCTGAATAAATACGTTCTTCATATACAAAAATTAGCTCAGAAAGGATTAAGGACTTAAAAGTAAAACCTAAAACTATAAAAATCCTAGATGAAAACCTAAGAAATACCCTTCTGGCCTCAGCCTTGACAAAGAATTGATGACTAAGTTATTGAAAACAGTTGCAATACAAACAAAAATTGGCAAATGGGACTTAAACTAAAGAGCTTCTGCATAGCAAAGGAAACCAACAACAGAGTGGACAACCTACAAAATAGGAGAAAATACTTGCAAAGTATGCATCTGACAAAGGCCTAATATCCAGAATCTATCAGGAACTTAAATCAACAAGCAAAAAACAAATAACTCCATTAAAAAGTGAGCAAAAGACACTTTTCTTCTCAAAAGAAGACATATAAGCAGCCAACAAACACATGAAAAAATGCTCAATATCACTAATCATCAGAGAAATGCAGATTAAATCCACAATGAGGTACCATCTCACATTAGTCAGAATGGCTATTATCAAAAAGTCAAAAAACAAAAGATGTTGTTGAGGCTGCAGAGAAAAGGAAATGCTTGTACACTGTGTTGGTAGGAATGTAAATTCATTCAGCCACTGTGGAAAGCAATTTGAAGACTTCTCAAAGAACTAAAAATAGAACTCTCATTTGACCCAGAAATCCTATCACTGGGCATATACCCAAAGGAAAATAAATCATTCTACCAAAAAAACACATGCACTCATATGTTCATTACGGGGCTGCGCACAATAGCAAAGAAAGGTAATCAACCTAGGTGCCCAGCAATGGTGGACTGAATAAAGAAAATGCCATACATACACACTATGGAATATGACAAGGCCATAAAAAATTACAAAATTATGTTCTCTGCAGCAACATGCATGCAGCTGGAGGCCATTATCCTAAGCAAATTAATGCAGAACAGAAAGTCAAATGCGTGTTCTCACAAGTGGGAGTGAAACACTGGGTACATATGGACATAAAGATGGGAACAACAGACACTGCAGGCTGCTAGACAGGTGAGAGAGAGAAAGGTGCAAGGGTAGAAAAACTATCTGTATGGTACTATGCTCACTACCTGGGTGATGGGGTCAATTATACCCCATACCTCAGCATCATGCAATATATCCATTGAGCAAACATGCACATGTACCCCCGAATCTAAAATAATAGTTGAAAGTTTTTAAAAAAGGTACTTATCCTTAAGAGATGCATACTAAAATATATAATATCTGAGATTTATGTCAGAATAATGCAATGGTCAAGGAGAGGGAAGGATATAAATAAAACAATTTTTGGCTGGGACTTGTTAATTATTGAAGCTGGATGATGGGCACGTGAGGGTTTATCATTCTATTCTTTTTACTTTTACAATATGCATTAATATATGAATTTTTGCATAATAAAATGTTTTTCAAAATGAGAATTTAAAAAATATAATGACAGTGAAGTGGCAATGGGAATTGTAAATTTTTCCAGTCAGGTGAAGTCCCAGTTTTTCAGAGTGTTGTGTTTGGACCAGATCACAGTCTTGTATAATCTGGATGCACCTTACCAGTGTCGGAGAACATCAACAACAGCAAATCTTTACTGAGATCCTTCTGTGTGTCAAGTCCAATCAGAGAGAAGCGTTCTTTTATGCCAATAGAGAGACAGAGAGAGATGTTCAATGTACTGGTAATAAAAATAGGAGAATGAAATCATTGCTTCCACAGAAAGGCCCCAATGAATCTTCTAAAATAAACACATATTATTTGTGATTTTTCAACTATACCTTTATCAAGAAAAGAATAAAACATAATCAGACCATGGTGTATTGCTGTTTAAAATGATCCACTAATGTTCTAATTATCATCAGGACAAAGGCCCTTAGACATGCCTGCCTCACATCTGGACTTTTCCTCCTTCCCCAGCTCCGTCTCCTGCCCATCCCCACGTACTTTAAATTCAGCTACAGGAAGGGACTTACAGTTCCCAGAACATGCCTCCTGGAGTTTGCACTCCACCAGAGAAGTTTCATTCATTCATCTGCATTCATCGATCTCCTAGCATGACTCATGCCACCTGCATGCCATGCTTGCTCTCTTCCCTACCTGGACCGCCCTTCTCCCTCATCAGTTTCATTCTTCAAGTTTCATCTTACTTGTCATCTTCTTTGAGAAACTTTCTTTGAACCCAAGCTGAGCAAGCTTGCCCTCTGCTGTATTCTCTGTGTAGGGGAGGATAAGAGGAAAGAAGGGCACACATCTTATTTCTCCCACTAAATTCTGAGGTTAGGGCTAAAATCCTGTTTATTCACAGTATGTGGCTCAAGGCCTGAGTCATACTACAAGATCAGTGAGTGCTTGTTGAATGAATGAATGAATGAATGAATGAAGCTTCCTCACTAGAATGTAAACCCACGGGGCAAGAATTTTTGTTGTTTTGTTTTGCTTTCTCTTTAGCACATGGGACAGTACCTGACACACAAGTATTTGTCAAAATAATTAAAATTACCTGTCAAAGAAAAAGCAACATGTCTATGTTAAGGTTCATATCCAAACTAACCATTTGCTGGTTGTCAGCCTATCTGTGGATTAGTAGAAGACTTTGACCTTGAGATTAAAAACAAATTAAAGACAAAAAGTGTTTTGAATGTTGAATACAATGAAAGTTTTTTCAAACTTTACTGAGTTATAACTTGAATTTAAAAGTGTGAAATAGGCCGGTCACTGTAGCTCACTTCTGTAATCCCAACATGTTTGGAGGTCAAAGCGGGCAGGTTGCTTTAGCCTAGGAGATTGGGACCAGCCTGAGTAACATGGCAAAATCCCAAATCTACACCCTCTCCCCAAAAAAATGCTGGGTGGCATGCACCTGTAGTCCCAGCTACTGGGAGGCTGAGGCTGGAGGATCACTTGAGCCTTGGAGGCAAATCACACCACTGCACTCCAGCCTGGGTGACAGCCTGTGTCAAAAAAAAAAAAAAAAAAAAGCCGGGCGCAGTGGCTCAAGCCTGTAATCCCAGCACTTTGGGAGGCTGAGGCGGGTGGATCACGAGGTCAAGAGATCGAGACCATCCTGGTCAACATGGTGAAACCCCGTCTCTACTAAAAATACAAAAAAACATTAGCTGGGCATGGTGGCACGTGCCTGTAATCCCAGCTACTCAGGAGGTTGAGGCAGGAGAATTGCCTGAACCCAGGGGGCGGAGGTTGCGGTGAGCCGAGATCGCGCCATTGCACTCCAGCCTGGATAACAAGAGCGAAACTCCACCTCAAAAAAAAAAAAAAAAAAAAAAGGTTGGGGGAAATGCATGAAATTAAAACTTATCTCTAAGTCCAAGAGTGATTGGGACTTTTTTTTTTTTTTTGAGACAGAGTCTCACCCTTGCAGCCCAGGTTGGAGTACAGTGACAGGATCTCAGCTCACTGCAACTGCCACCTCCTAGGTTCAAGCAATTCTTCTGCTTCAGCCTCTGGAGTAGGCGTGTGCCACCACGCCCAGATAATTGTTGTATTTTTCATAGAGACATAGTTTCACCATATTGGCTAGGCTGGTCTCGAACTCCTGACCTTGTGATCTGCCTGCCTAAGCCTCCCAAAGTGCTGGGATTACAGGCATGAGCCCCCATACCCCGCCAAGGAACAGGCCATTTTCTATGTGGCCATATTATTGACCCAAAGGAAAAAAAAAAAAGAATGATTTCCCACATCAGGAACAGCCAGAGCGCAAGGAAAGCCTTACATCATGAATGACATCACCTTAGTGACCTAATTTCTATAGGACAATGGAAAAATTTCTTCTCTCGCAAACCTTGCAGCAGCTTGAACCAGCAACTTCATAGTGGGATGATGGGAGGGGTCCATGGACAAAGGACAATTGTTGGCCTTTCCTTGACAGAAGGGTGGTTTACAAAGTGGTCTTTCTCAGGAGTCTGCCTGGAATGAATTGTACACCACATGACAGGTGTTCTTACATAAGTAAGACAGAAGTGAATTCAATTGGGTTTCTTTTCTTTTTGAAACCTTCTTTCTCTGGAACTGTCCTCTCTAAAAGTGACTAGAACAACAGGAGGGAAAAGTGAGATCTTGAACTCCCCAGGGAATCAAGGTGGCATTTCCTTCCCCTTTCTTTCCTTTGCATGCTTGTCATCCTCTGGGACCTCTTTGGAGAGGAGGTTTTATTCCTCTGCTTTCTTTCAGAATCCTGCCTCACATAATCTTTACTAGCTCTTCATAAAGAAAACTAGGACTCCCATTTATTTTATCCAATCCACCACTACATCCAGCCTTGAAAACAGTACACAGCCTATTATTCTCTAACAGGGACAAATAGCAGGATGGAGCTGGACTATTTTCCATGAGGCTGATTTTTGCCAATCTAACACATTTATTCTCTGACACCCTTTCATGGCCAATTGAGAAGCGGTACCCAGAAAGATAGTAATGCAACTTAGAAATGTATGAAAAATTGATAATGTTGAGATCTTAATTGAGGTGAAATAACCCAATAATCTGTGGAGGGACATTAAGACCATTTTGTAGTATTAGTAAAATATACACGACACATATCCTTCTACCCAAAAACTCTGCTCTAGGATTCTAGCTCACAGAAATACACCAGGGAGCAAAGGCATATGAGTAACATTGTTTACTGAACTACAACTATAGAAGCACATGAAATGACACACTAAAAGAGACACACTATGTATTGTAATGTGGAAAAAGTAAAGCACAGAACAATATGTATGTGTGTGGTTTCATTTTTGTTAAAAAATACCATATGTGGATGCATACACCTGTGAATATTTATAGACATAAAGAAAAAGCCGGAAACATACACATTAAAGTCTCAGTAGTAGTTCCTTTTTCTGGAGAGTGAGATTGGGGAGTGTGGCAAGGGGATATTTCACTCTATTTTATGCATTCTGGATTGTTTAAATCTATTTTAAAAACCAGTAAAGGAAATTAAGAATAAGTGGATTGGTATAAGGTAGTTAATTTATTTTTTGTTTTCTTAATTTTTTTGAGACAGGTTCTTACTCTGTTGTTCAAGCTGGCATGCAGTGGCATGATCTCAGCTCACTGCAACCTCCACCTCCCAGGTTCAAGAGATCCTTCCATCTCAGCCTCCTGTGTAGCTGGGATGGCAGGTGTGTGCCACCACACCGGGCTAATTTTTGTATTTTTTGTAGAGATGGGGATTTATCATGTTGCCCAGGCTGGTCTCAAACTCCTGAGCTCAAGCAATCCACCCACCTCAGCCTCTCAAAGTGTTGGGATTACAGGAATGTGCCACCACACTGGGCCTGCATGGTTAATTTATATTTATTTTTGTGCGAGGAACATGATAGACACTTTATATATATCACCTCACATGTCCCTCCAGTCTTCTGATGTAGGTAATGTTATCCCTATTTACAAGTGAGAAAACAGATTCAGAGAAGTTACTTGCCCAAGGTAACAGAGGTAGTAAGTAGCAGAGATAGGGTTCAAACTCAGATCTATCTGATTCCAAAGCCAAGATCTTTCCATTGGTCTGACAATGCTCTCATATCATATAGCCCTGGCTCAGTAGATGGGCTTATTAACATTGCCTCATTGCCACTGAATGTTAGGTTTATTTTTTAGAAACTTATGGAAAATTGTATAGACAAAAATTAAAAGTATAATGAATCCATGTGCTCATTATCACCCAGAGTCAATAATTATTAATACTCTGTGTCATTATTTTATCTATACCCACAAATACTTTTATTTTCTTTTTGAGACAGAGTCTCACTCTGTCACCCAGGCTGGAGGACATGCAGCAGCTCAATCACAGCTCACTGCAGTCTCGACCTCCCAGGCTCAAGTAATCCTCCCACCTCAGCTTCCCACGTAGCTGGGACTACAGGTGAGCACCACCATGCCCAGCTAATTTTTTCTATTTTTTGTACAGGCGAAGTCTCACTATGCTGCTTAGGCTGGTCTCGAACTCTGGGGCTTAAGCGATCCAACAGTCATTGGCCACCCCACCCGGGCTATCCCCATAAACACATTTTTGGGAGAGTATTTTAAAACAAATTTAAGGTATATTATTTCATCATCAATATTTCAATCTCTAAAAATAACTTAAGAAAACAATCATAATGCCATTATCACACATAATAAATTTCACAATAATTCCTTATTATCTAATACCCAGTCCATGTAATTTTCCCACATTGTCTCCAAAAAAGGTCTTTTTTTGTTTGTATGTGTTATGTATCTCTCTCTCTCTTTTTTTTTTTTTTTAAGAGACAGGGACTTCTATTGCCCAGGCTCTGGAATGCAGTGGCACAATCATAGCTCGCTGCAACCTGAAACTTCTGGGCTCAGGTGATTCTCCCACCTCAGCCTCCACAGGCACATGCCATTATGCTGGCTAATTTTTAAATTTTTGGTAGAGGTGAGGTCTTGCTATGTTGAGCAGACTGGTTTCAAATTTCTGGCCTCAAGCAATCCTCCCACCTCAGCCTCTCGAAGTGCTAGGATTACAGGCATAAGCCACCACACTCAACTTCTCTTATGTCTTTAAGCCTTCTTTTTTTTTTTTTTTGAGACAGAATCTCCCTCTGTCACCAGGCTGGAGTGCAGTTGCACGACCCTGACTCACTGTAGCCTCCACCTCCCAGGTTCAAGTGATTCTCGTGCCTTAGCCTCCTGAGTAGCTGGGATTATAGGCGCCTGCCACCATGTCCGGCTATTTTTTTTTTTTGTATTTTTGGTAGAGACGGGGTTTCACCATGTTAGCCAGGATGGTCTTGTTCTCCTGACCTCGTGATCCGCCCGCCTCAGCCTCCCAAAGTGCTGGGATTATAGGCATGAGCCACTGTGCCTCCCCAAGTCTTCTTGAATCTATACTTTCCTGCTCCCTTTTTCTTCATACCATTTATTTCTTGAAGAAATTGAGTCATTTGTCTCATAGAATTTCCCATCTTTTTTATTTGATATTTTATATCCTTATGGTGTCAATTTGCATGCTTCTTGGTTTCTCATATTTCTCACAAACCAGTGGTTAGAAAATTGTTAAATTCAGGTTCAATTATTTTGGCAAGAGTATTTCTTAAGTAGTGTTGCATACTTCCTACTACATCATATCAGAAGGCAATTAATGTCTCACTGTTCCACTGCTAATAATGTGAAGGTGGTACAGTAGGTTTAAAAGTTATCAGCCTCATCTATCTATTACAAAGTTTCTTATCAACTATTCACCTAATAATTTTAGCAACCACTGATGATTTTTGCCTAGTTTTTTTTTTTTTGTTTTTTTTTTTTTTTTTTTTTTTTTAGGAATTAAGTTCATTTCTAATCCTGCAAGACAGGTATTTTAAAACACCATCCTGAGACGGGAGCTAGGTCTCAGAAATCTATATTCTATGAACCATTGTATATTTCCCCAAGAATAATTGAGTTTTAGCCTTATTTTCCTAAGACTATCAGTATTCTTCTGCCCCATAAGTCCCATTTAGAATCATTTTGCTACTTAGAGTCACATTTTTATTATTCTATTTGGAATTTTTATCCATGCTGCAATCCCTGAATAATTCATAAAAAGGAAGAAGACAGGAGGGGATACAGAAAAGATATCATATTGCCAGTCCTGATAAATGCCTCGGTAAGCCATTTAAACATCTTTGAGTCCTTTTAAACTTCATGCCCAAAGTAATCTTTTATATTAGAAAAAGATGTTATTTTAGTCTCAGTGATTCTATGTCTGCTTTTTTTTTTTTTTTTTTTTTGAGATGGAGTCTTGCTGTGTTGCTCAGGCTGGAGTAGCATAGTGGCATAATCTGGGCTCATTGCAACCTTTGCCTCCTGCGTTCAAGTGATTCTCCTGCCTCAGCCTCCTGAGTAGCTGGGATTATAGGCACACACCAACATACCTGGCTAATTTTTATATTTTTAGTAGAGACGGGGTTTCACCATGCTGGCCAGGCTGGTCTTGAACTCCTGACCTCAGGTGATCTGCCCACCTCAGCCTTCCAAAGTGTTGGGATTACAGGCATGACCTACCACACCCAGCCTGTCTGTTCTTATTTACTCCACATTCACTGTAGCTTATGTCCAGGGCCGAGTTATGACGATAAACAGAGGGGAAGGCCCAGGTCCTGTCCTCCAAGGGTTCACAATCACCTACCCTGATGTAACAGTGAAATGTCTAGAAGGCTCTTGGAGTACAGGAAAGAGACACTCCCAGACTACAGAATCAGGGACAGCATCTCAAAGGAGATGCTTAGCAGAATTTTGAAAGACAAGCAGAAAAAGGGGAGGGCATTCCAAGAAAAGAGAAATCCCATACAAAGGCAAGGAGATGGGAAAGAATAGGCCCTTTCAGAGCACTGCACATGGTATTGAATGACTGGAGAGCAAGGTTTATAGGGAGGAGTAGTTGTGCTGCAGCAGTGACAGGAGTAGGCCATGAGGAGCCAGGCCAAAGAGTTAGGATGTCCCTGAAGGACTTACAGCATAAGAATGGCAGAGTCTGATTCATCTTGTATATCTTTTTCCCCAATACATTTTCTTCCTCTTTTTTCTTATTGAAGCGAAATTTATGTAACATAAAATTAACTTTTTTAAGCTGAATACAGTGGCATTGAGTACATTCATAATGTTGTAAAGCAAACCCCTCTATGCAGTTCTAAAACATTTTCACCACCCTAAAAGGAAATTCTATACCCATTAAGCAATTACTCCCCATTCCTCTCTCCTCCAAGCCTCTGATAACCACCAGACAGCTTTCTATCCCTGTGGATTGACCTATCCACTCAGTACTTTCTTCCTTTTAAAATTTATGCAAGTAAATTGGATTTATTATAAAAGAATCAAGATAGAGATGAACAGAAAGAGAAAACTAAATATTGCTATCATCTTAGTATCATGGGTAAATTTTGTATGCTGTGTATCCTGCTAAACAATTTTCTAAGGCTTCTCCCTCTCCATTCCTCCGTGTGTCACCTGAGCCCCATGTATTTCACAAGGTCCTCCAACCTTCTGGAGTCTCCTCAACCTTTGATATTATAAAATAATTGGCTAGGCGTGGTGGCTCATGCCTGTAATCTCAGCACTTTGGGATGCCGAGGCGGGCACATCACCTGAGGTCAGAAGTTTGAGACCAGTCTGACCAACATGGAGAAACTCCATCTCTACTAAAAATACAAAATTAGCTGGATATGGTGGCGCATACCTGTAATCCCAGCTATTTGGGAGGCTGAGGCAGAATCTCTTGAACCTGGGAGATTGAGGCTGCAGTAAGCCGAAATCAGGCCATTGCACTCCAGCCTGGGCAACAAGAGTGAAACTCCATCTCAAAAAAAAAAAAAAAAAAAAAAAGAATCCTGCTCAAACCCCTATCCTATGAATGTCACAAGACCCACGTCCCTACCAATATCTCTGAAGGGTCTCATATTGGGCCAAAGGTATGTTTCTTTTGATCAGCCTCTACCTCTGATTTTCTGCCTTGATCTCCACCCCTCATTATACTTCCTGGGCACCTTGCCCCTTCTTCTACAATGTATCACCCTCTTGGATACTTCCTCAGTGTCTTCTCTCCCCAAAAGATGGCCTAAATATGGTTGTGTGTTTAGCAAACTTTTAGGAAAGATTTGGAGGCTAGAGGGGATAGCTTATATTGAAGATAGAGAACATCTTGAAACCAAG